AATTTAACGGCGCGGCTGATCATGGCGACTTGTGGGATTTTACGATGTGCACTGGCTTTTCGACGTGAGTGCTGGATATGATTCATTCTATTTATTGTTCATGAGGGCTGACAAGTTCTTTTTTTACGGCCGCAGTTTTGGATATGTCAATGCTTGGGGAGTGAGGCTCTCCATTCTTGATTGTTATCGAGCGAGGTTGTAATGGCTATATTACAACAGGTATTCCAAGCCTACTACGAAGGAACATTGTTGAAGGACTTGGACTCTTCGAAGATGTGAGTGCTTGCTACTCGCGTTTTGTTCGTTTCTCATCGGTTTAGTGCGTGGATTGGTTCTGTCCAGGTACCAACCTCTCCATCTTTTGACTTGCCGACACTAACACTATCGAGTAGTACTCTCTCGTATTCATGGCAGGCCTAATAACCGGCCGGATGTTCGACATTGGTTACTTCAAACCGCCCTTCCTCCTAGCAAACACACTCCTTGTCGTCGCGACCTTTCTAGTTGCCCAATGCACCCAATACTGGCATTTCCTGCTCTGCCAGGGTTTCGCCATTGGGGTTCGTCCGTTCTCCCTTCTCACAACTGTTCTAAGTGTATTGTCCTACATATAGCTAGCATGTGGAACAATATTTGGTCCATCCATGGATATCATCGGGCATTGGTTCCGACGACAACGAGGACTCGCTCTTGGTATAACGGCTACTGGCTCGTCGATCGGTGGTACCGTCATCCCAATAACTGCTCGTAACCTCATAAACGCCATAGGGCAAGTCTTCTTCCTTCCCCGAAATTACATTGTCTCTCAAAGGCCTCTCTGACAGGTTCCCGTGGACAATGCGGATCATTGCCTTCATCTTAATGTTCGTTCTGGGTATCGCCAACCTGACGCTGAAACGCCGACTTCCACCGGTAAATGTATCTGGGGGTTTGCTTAACCTGAAAGCATTCAAGAGCGCACCATATACGATTTGGTGTATTGCCAGTTTTATCGCTTTCCTGGAACTGTATACAGGTACGATGCCTCCAAGTCCGCCCTCTCGCATTCTCATTCTCGTCCTTGTGTCTCTTAGTCTTGACCTATATCAGTGTCAGCGCCACAGCCTATGGTGTATCGGCCGATACCTCGTTCTACATGGTCTCTATCGTCAATGCCAGTTCGGGAATCGGACGAATCGTGGCCGGGATCTTTGTTGATCGAATAGGTTCCTCAACTTTTCATTCATCTATCTGGAAAACCTTCTGACCCCTCCACCCACAGGCGCTGTGAACTATTTTGGACCCGCAACGATCATAACAGCAGGCCTCACATATGCCTGGCCATTCGCGCGAACCTTACCTTCTATGATTGGCGTAGCCATAACATATGGGTAGGCCTCCCCATCATTTTTCACACTACATTTCTTCTCATAAGTATGGCGATCCTAGCTTCTCCAGCGGAGCCTACGTCTCCTCATTCCTCACTCCCATTTTCGAATTGGGCGAGATTGGTGATCTCGGACGACGGACGGGGATGGCGATATCGATAGCGGCCCTCGGCGCGCTTGCAGGTCCGCCGATCTCTGGGGTGATCCATACAGCTACGGGTGGGTTTGAGGTCGTGGGGTATTATGCAGGTACGAGTACTGATTATTTGAGGTCTTGCTGACAGCCGAAAAAAATCGTACAGGTAGCACCATCTTGCTTGCGGTGGTACTGATGTTTGTTGTCCGACATCTGGTTCTTGGAACGCTCAGAGGAAAGTTCTGAACATGGTTTGATATCATGACTATATCTAGACATATGCTCACGTACTTACTATTTTGTTGACTATGAATGATGAATACCGGAAATTGAAGCGTTCGCCATATCACTGTCTCCGAATCACTCGAAAGAACCTCAGGACTATGAGAAGACATGGCAAGACTGCGGCGAAGTCGTTGGAACTTTGCTTGAAATGTATAGGCCTCATTGGGCCTTACGATATCCCTCCAAATAGACAACCTTACAATCCGCCTCAGCAGGAAAAGAAACAAACTTATCCAAACTGAACTAAAATGATACGTGGAAGATGCATATTCGTACTTCCGAGGGTGAAAGAACCTGGCTTGGAAAATACTCAAGACGATGAAGGCGTAGGGGGGTGTGAAAAGTACTCCACCAGCAGACGCAGTCTCGTGACTTGGGTTCTAGATCGCGTGAAACTATGATCGGACCGGATGCCGATCAAAGCTCTCAACTTCTCACGCAACGTTATGTTGAACATCGACGTCCACCATGACGAGTTCACGCGCCCAGTCCGCTACATTCGGACTACCGGAGGTTGACTTCGAACGTCTCTTTGGACTTGATCCATTCCCTCTCGAGTATGACCCTGATTCTGACATTCCTAAGCCAGACTCTTCGCCCATTACGTTCTTTGACAAACACTTGGATGACTCTTTAATTCTCAAGAAAGTTACGGTTCTACCCTCCCTCATATCTATACTCTCGGAATCTCTGGATGACTTCGTGTCAACATTTAATTCCAAGAATGAATCATTCTCTTCTTCCCGTCTTTACCTCAGTCCTAGAATCTATGATTGCTCAAAACCCCCAAAGAATGCTACCGACATCGCGGTGCGATATCTTCACGGTGCGCCTATGTTTTTACAGGCTGCCTCCATTCTCGTTGTTCATCCGGACAAGCCTGAACTCAAGACAGTGTTTTGGATGAATACAGGACCTCCCGGGCCTCCAGAGGGTTTTCATTCAAATAAGCATTCCCTCAAGTATGGTGCCTATACGAGAAAAGGCATGCTTGAAAGGCTGGAATCTTGGGACCTGGACCGGAAGACACTTCTTCTGTCTATGTGGGACAATTTACCTGAACTGGCGATTTGGGATATATACGCGCTGTCCGGGGAATCTATTTTGGAGGATATGTCGGGCTTGGCTGCTTCCGATACCTTCCCTTGGAAACATTGCGGCGCTTCGGGGCATCGACAATTTACGAGTTCGGTTCACGTATCACGGCCGGACGTGTCAAAGTACCTCTGGGAAACGGCGCCCGCACCGTCTAGTAATGTGGACCCGGCTATGACAGAGACAACCCATCCACGTCGCAGTGAACGGCTCAAGAGTCGACCTTCTGGAAAGGGTTTACTTCGTGTTGCCCCAAAGAAAAGGCCCGCCCGTTCTTTACAGGTCAAAGAACCTGCCACGCCCAAAATTGTGGTTCCCAAGTCTGCACATGGAATGTCAAGATACAAAGCGAACGCGGCAGATTTCATACAACGAGTATGCTTTTATTTCTCTTCTCATACAAAACCATTTAATAATTGATTCAGGCTTGGGCGCGTGCTGTCCACTCGGACTCGACATTCATCATATTCGATTGTGGGAACTTTCTCAGAATCGGCGTTCGGCAGCGGAAAACCCAAACGCTCTACATATCTGAGCTAGTTGATGCCGGTGCCTGCTCCAATCCACCATACGGAAAGCTCATGGTAGCAATCAACGTGGCAATTTTGCGCGATGCCATTGATCGTCTTCCGCTACTTGATCCGTCGCTGGCCAAAAGCAAGCATTCACGCGCTAATAAATTCTCTAAACGGCCACGGGATGAGGCCGAGGCAACTGTCCCTGTCAGACGTTCCCGTCGTAGACTTGGAGAGACGAGCGAAGAGGTCACATCTGAGGTAAGCCATAAATCTCTTATAAAATCTCTTCATGCTGAACTTGGCTCACAGGAGATCATAAATGAGCTTCTTAATCGAAAAATAGCCCTGCTCTATTTGCAGCATGGGAATTTCCATTCTAGTTCGCCTTCATTCTTTAGAAGACCAAATAGCCTTGGTCGGCAACGTTCGTATCGTTACGATGACTGCATCACTCTTCTTGTTGGGAAGAAATTGGGGCAAGGATCTATCGGGCAGGCATACGAAGCTCGGGTCGAGGTGGACATGCCCTCTGGAAGTGTAGCGCGCTATTCAGAAAAGGTTATAGTCAAGCTCGCACTGTCTGAAGAACAGAAAGAGAGGTTGCGTCATGAGTATGCGATATACCGGCGTCTGCTATATGGACCTGTACCCGTTGTGGAAGGAGACATCCCTATGGCTTTCGGATTTTTTGAAGACATCGAGTCCGATGCGGGGGCTCTAATTTTGAGCCACAACGGTCGATCATTGGCACATCGTTCGGATCCTCCCGCCTCCGGAATTACCGTCTCTGACGAAGAAAGGTGTGTTCAGATGATGCGATTTCAATGCATAGTCAAGACTAATGTATGCATTGCAGGGCTACATTACTCCGAATACTAGAGAGTATCCACGCAGCCGGCGTCGCTCATGGGGACATCCGAACGTGGAACATGGTCGCCGACGAGGCAGGTCATCTTTCTATAATTGACTTCGATAGGGCAAAATTTAGGGGCCACAAGGCACAGATGAGGGCTGAGCATAAGCGGCTGGAGGATCTATTGGACGGTGAGCCTATTGACGGCTTTTCCGTGACGAGCTACGAGGCATTGACAACAAGCGACGAGGCGTCTTATTGATGATAGTACACTTTAGTATGTATTCCATACTTGAGCATCCATCCTCTTTCTGTCTCTCTCAACTGCGATATCCCACTTCACCATCCTTTTCGTGAGGCTTGTCGAGGGACTGGTGCTCCCAGTAGGTTTGGGCGAGATTGCCTTCGGTCTCGATGCCCTCTTTCCCATCCTGGGAGATTCGGCCTGGTGACCGTCAGTTTCATGCAATTCCTGGCCGTAATCGCCTTTCTTGGATAGTGATCTACCAGGAATCTTGCGTTGACTCCCGGGTCCCCGGAGACGTTTCTGCGATATTTCTCGAACAGAGCTGCTCTTATGCGCCAATAAGCGTCGATAGTCATGACCGTTTTTCCAGCTAATAATGTGGATGTGCCACTGGCCCTTCTTTTGCTCGTTCCTTGTAACAAGAATATTTGCCGGAGTAAGGCTTCCGTGAGTGATCTTTGCAGAGTGCATTTTTTGAACCGCTGTTCGCACCCGAGAACTAGGATCCTTGAATGACTGCGCTAGACACGACGATAGTGACACTTACTAGATGTCGTTGGGAGTACGGTTTCTGAATTTTGTGGGAGCCGGATCGCCGCTATCCAGAAGAACGAGAACCATCTTGTCCTGGAACTTGTAAAGCCCGAAATGTTCAGGTATTCCAAGGCTTGTGGCAATGCTTTCGATCCTCCACAATTTGGTATACATGTCGTATTCTTTCCGAAGGCCCTTTCTTTCGTGCGGAAATTGAGCGAATTTGATAACGATTCCCCGTACAGCAACCTGACCATTGTCGACGTAACAATAATAGGAATGAGTGCTTTTTGGATATTGATCCATAACATGCACTTCCATTTTTGTGCAGTTCAGCGGTCTGGCATTTGATTGTGTGATTCGTGTCACTGTCATGCTGCTCGCTTGTCCTAAACCGTCGATATGTGTATTCCATGAAATCTCCAACGAGCCTGCTTTTCGCAGTCGCCGGAAGAGCTGTTGTTCCTGGTGAAAATTTGTCACTAAAATTCAGGGGCGTACAGTGATCGCTCTGTGCTTACCTCTGAAGTCAGTTCGCTTCCCGAGTAGTAGTCCTCATCATTCTCGTTCTCCTTGTCTTCAACTTCCGAAATCTTTGCTTTTGCTGCCTTTGGAGTCGCTGTAGACTTGCAAGGCCTGGTCGTCTTTATAGTGTTTGGCTCCTTGTCTGGGTATGGTTCACCACGGTCGTACCGGAATGTGTGAAGCTTGGGACGGCGTGAGAGCGCCTTCAAACGCTTCGCACGAAGAATCACATCGTGAAGTGCTGCAATTTGTAGGCCGGCGTGGATTTTGAAGTAGCCTGCAGGAAGACTACCGGGGTTGTCTAAATCTATGAGCGGCGACAGATAGAGGCGTTGTAAGTTTCGATCCCGTATGCCTATGAATTCTCGGCTCCCGGCATTTAAAACCATGAAAGTTACATCGACGTTGACAGCTTCGGCCCATACCTGTTTCACATATCAGGCCTGATAACACAAAATAATAAGCAGAATCAAGGGTACCTGTTGGATGATTTTCAGCGCCTTATAGAAGTCGCCCTTGGTAAACGGAAGCCTATGCACAGAGCCGTCATCTGCACCTCCACTGGCGTCACATTCGTCTTCGCTATTGTCTCCTCCGACTTCATCAGGGGATGCTGGTTTCCTTTTGGACCCCGCCTTCCGTAGCTTTCTTTCCGGAAGTTTGAACTTCCATCCGCTTGTGTTTAGCACAGAAGTTGGGGACAAATCGATATTAGATTTATCGAGCCTAGGCGTCCTTCTGTTTGAAACACCAGATTTGATATCCGAGGTATCCTCCAAGATACCTCCATCCACGCCCGTTTTATGACCCGTGACGGTGAACTGGAACCTGTTGTTCGTCTTCTGGCAAAACCGTCCACCGCAACTCTGGGATGTAGGACAGCGAACCCAAGGGAACTTCGAGCCGGCCAAATGGCTGATAGCTTGCATGACTCCCTCACTTCCTGCGTTCATACTCTTGAACTCCCAGAACAGGAAGTCGGATAAGCCCGTCTCGATGACAAGCTGAATATCGCTGTCAAGATCGTCGGGAAGCCCGGCCTTTGCTACGATATCTTTATTAAGCGAGAGATATCCATCTGCAAGAGCGTAAGGCATCATGGATATAGGCTTTTCGCTGTATTGGAAGATGCTTGACCATTGACCAAGACCAGCGACTAGGGTGGAGGCGACGAGAGATGAAATATTCTGCAGCTTGGGATATTGGCGCTGGAGGTCAACTTCTGGGCCTATTTCGATGCCTTCAAATTCCTGCAGATTTTGGTGAACACTGAGTCGATGCAGGTCATGACCCTCGGGAACTGGAGGTAGATCCCTGATGCTTCCAGTCGAAGTGCAGTGCTGGGAATTGACAGCACCAGCTAGCTGCTCGAGCATATCAGGGAAAAGTATGATGTCTTTGAGAATAAGTTGGGAATGCAGATGCATGTCGTATTGCGCAGTACCGCGAGTACCATCACTACCCTCAAAACCTGTCGGTTTTTTAAATTTAGGCCGGTAGTTGAAGAGGAATTCCAGAGCTTGTGAATTAAAGTCAGTACTGAAAGCAGATAAACACGAAGCCTGCGCACCATCTTCTCCAGGAACTGTATCTTCGGAAGGCGCGGACGCAGCGGGTGGGCGGACCTGGCGCTGATTACGGCGCTTTGACTTGGACATAGTGAGATCGTGAATGAGGAAGGATGATGGAGTGATTCGAAAGGTGGTGTAGAACGCAAGGGTAGAGTGCTTCGTCTGGCGAGTTATGCCTCATTAAAGCAGCTCCTTCAAGCTTTTAAAGTACATAGAGAGAACGCCTGCGAAATGTTCATATCCACGGATGCTCTGAGGAGGCTGTTGTTCTTTGCATCAACCTTATGCGAATTTGTGATCAGGTGTCATCAAAGCAAAGAGTCACTTACCTATCGGGGCACCATTTTGATGCAACGGAATCCAGAGACTTGCAGCCCCTCGAAGAAAACAATAGTCTCTAAACCGGACTATCCAATGAGGGGAAATCTTCAAAGCGCAAGTCGGAGAACCCGAGAAAAGAACAATGAGATCAGCCGGAGCAGAGGAATCCAGCCGTACGTCCACGATGGCGAGAAGGGCCGTAAAACGTGGGATAACGGTGACTGACGGCATCCCATTCATTCGCGTAACGTGCGAAGCGTCGTCGTGATGATACCGGCGCCTGAAGTCATCGTGTCCTAAATAGACTATACTAGCATAACAACAAGTTTCTAGCCCATGAATTAGCACGGCATATGCAGAACGGACGGAGTAGAACGGGGACAACAAATCGCCGCGCGTTCAAGAGTATCAAGGCACTTACAATGTACACCACGAGAAATTGACCCTACATGATGGAATTAACGCGCAGCACAGGGTATTCGAGTCAAACTGACAAGGGTCGAGTCCAAACGGCGAAACGAAGATAATCAACGACACTTCACGCAGCGCGCTCCTTCCCATCTGACGCAACTCTCTAGAAAATAGCTGGAGCGGTGAAAGTTAAGGCAACATAAAATAGCTCACAGAATCTGGCGGGATCTAAGCATAGAGATGGATCTGAAATGAGCGACTGGCCAGTCCTACTCAACGTGTGATAGTAGAAGAAAAGGGTCGAGATCGGTGATCGATCCGATCAGCCGCTTCAAATTCCAGTGCTTTGACTGATTGTTGATCCCTACCGGTGACTAGCCACTTTGCCTAAAGAAGTACAAAGCACTCTAGATGGTCGCGGCGCGCGGATATGGTCGATCGTCTTCGGGATAATTAAATTGATATTCATGGATATGTTTTTCCTCGTGTTTTGAAACTTGCCGCGGTTAACGATGCAACATATACGGTCGCGGCGCACGTCCTCTGTGACATACACTGAGTCGAGGACTGACCGGCGGAGCTTTGATGGTCCGACTCAACGATGTCCCTGAGGACCATCAACGAAGCCTGAACGTGAAACCAACCACATGGATACCATTCACTTGACGCAGGGATCCATCACTTTCTCAGGCATACCAGAACAGTAGACTGGAATCCGGCATTATGCATGGGAATGCATTCGTTGTATTCGTCCGTTGTTACTGTACAGGACACGCTCCACACTATCCATTAACGTATGCCATCGTACCGGGATGGCAGAGTATATCACCCGGCTCCGTCCAAGGCTGCTGCACTCTGCTACATCGCCTCTGTAGGCTAGTTCCACACCTCCTATCGATCTAATATCAGATTGGGCACTTGCTACACCGATACATGCACCTGCTCTTGGAACGACGTAACCTTTGAGCATGAACGAGGAAGACTAATTGGCAACCCATAAACGCCAGACACCCCAGCGAGAGCCTTTCTCAGGTCCCCGATAAGTACCTGAGAGATCGAGATTAGGTATATCGAAGGATAAAGCAAAGTCACACAGCTCCGTACGCCACGAAGGTGGGGTGGACCAAAAATGAGCGTCATGTAATGCTGATACTCGGACGGATACGTCGGGTGGGTCATCAGAAATGACGTTAAGAACATAGGAAATAGCAGGAATGGACGTGTTTTCGCGAACGAACTTGACGTTGCTCGCCCCAATTTCGGGGGGCCGTATCTTGAACACAAGCCGAAAGGGAAACGGGACGTGCTTCCTTCCCAGGCACAATGCCATCCTGTCTCCGAGAAAAGAAAGTATGAAAGTATACGGTCTGTCGGATGCATACAGGGAGGCCGCCAGGGAATCGTTATATGATTCGAGTATGGGTAAGACGACCCTACATAGACAGCTGCATGGTGTAGGAGGCCTTTAAGAAAGTCTTCAGTGCTTGAGCTTACGTATACAACAAAGAAAATACGCTTACCCTCACTCTGACAATTGCAGTGGTGGTTGTGAACAATTCTGGTATGGACGTCAGCGTGCTTGAACTGTCTCCGGCGTTTCAGCGGCCGGGTTTAAGTCTTCCTCCTCTGGTATGCGCATTTATTGATCTTCTCTCGAATTGGGCCGTGTTATCGAGTGCTCTGAACTCTGGACTCTGAGTTGCGGTAGACGGCGGGAAGTTTCAGACGCTCCTCCCTGCGTAATGAAGGAGCATCATCCTCCCTTCTCCAAGCAGACCACGTTGTTCGGGGGGACGATTCTGAGAAAGCAAACAACCCAACCATTGGACGAATCAGTCTGCTTTCTGCAGCGAAATAGCATGCATTCATCGTGGTACATGTATCCATGTTTTCTCTACTTGTCCCATAGCTACGTCTGCAATTGAAGGCGACATAACCGGCGTAACTGAAAGTTATGAGGCGAGAGGGATCCAACCAAATTCATAGGCACCTGGAATCAACAGAGCTGAAAAGAGCCATGATGCATGAGCGAGTCAGGATTGGTGGCTGACAATGGCATGCTGCCACAGCTAGCAGACCCGCTGTCCGCGTCCCAGCTTCCTGTTTCACGAAGATGAACTCCTGGAACGTCATACAAGCCCATCGTGACCGCCGTCGGAGGCTCCCCTGTACACCGAAACGTTCCAACACACAGCAGAATGCCATCGTATTAAAACGGCTGAAAGCATTGTGTCCTGGGTCCCCTGTTTGTGCAGTATAAGGGGATGTGCTGTCGGTGATGAAGTCCTCTTTGGGGAAGATCTCGTTGATTTAGCTGAACAAAGGTTCGGGGCAAGACGGAACGACCAACTCGACTACGCTCTCGTCTCTTTCTCCTCGTCGTACGAACAGCTAAACCCTCCTTCCGCCCTCTAACAACACGAACACCCCTCCATCAACGTACTAGTTTCTCGTACGTGTGTTGTGGACATATCGAAGGGCGTTCACGTTTCGTAGAGAAAAAATCTCGGAGCACTGTATAATCCTAGGGAACAGCCAACGGGAGCTCAGAGAACGGGTTCTCATCTATTTCAGCACGGCAGAGAGTAGCATCTTTGAGAGGCTGAGATATTTAGTTCCTCCCATAGGCGTTGGAATGTGCATGTATGAATGTCAATTCGATAGTAGACATCGTGCGCCGGTGGAAAGCCAAAGGGCACGAGTTTGACATGTATGCGTTGGCCGCGTCGATCTGGTAACACTGGTAACAGCGTGCCGAGGAATGAGAGAGTGGATGGAGAATGTTTGGGATGCTAAGCGGGACTCTCGGCACGTCGTACGAGCCTATAATGACTGCCATCGGGAGCTCAGCATAGTCGCCCTTCTGCACACCGAAGCATTCGAGCACACCATCTTGTCGCAGGACACTGTTGTATTTGAACGACTGAGAGCGCGCAGTCCCGGGTCTTTTGTATGTGCAGTTTTAAGGGACGCGTGTCGGTAATGAAGCCCTCTTCGGACGATCTGATTGGTTTGACTGAATAAAGCTTCGGGGAGAGATGGAACGACTCACAAAACGTGGGCACGGCGTCGGGATTCCCTCCTGAGGACATCGAGCGTGTCGAAGGCGACGGTCGGAGGTGCGCTTGCGAGTGGGAGGAATGTCGGGAGGCGGTGCAGAAGGTTGAGCGCAGTCGGGAGAGACTCAGCGGTGATTTTGATGACGCCAAGGGTGAAGTGGACGCGACGATGACCTGCGAGCGTAGAGTCTGGTGCAGGAAGGCTGAAGGCGACATGGATATCAATGACTGACGCGGAGAGTTGGACTCGGAAGCCTCGGCTATCGAACCGATCACCTGTGCTACTGGCCTCTCCTTGTCCCTAAACGTTAAACCCTCAATCCGCCGTCTCATAACACGGATACCCCTACCACAACGACAAACCTATGCTAAAAAGTTTCAGTCAACGTCTTCCCTAAAACCAGGCTCCCAGCGACCGCTGAACAACCCAATCGATGTCACCGAACACGAAAATGCCAGGAAAAAATGAATTCCACAGTCGAATATCTCAGACGGGACTGTACTAATGCCTCCGTATGCCCTTCTGGAACATTGCCGCCTGCTTCTATGGGGAAGAGGTCACCACGGTCGGGGTTCATCGTCGTTCAAGTTCCAACTCCCGAGGCAATCCATTTTATTCTCCTTACATACTCGTCAGATGGGATCCTCACAATAAGACTGTAGTCGCTATGGCGTCTGGAATTTCCTGTATGGGCGTAATACTGTCCGGAAAATCGAGTCCCTCCATCTCTATTTTGAACACAAGTCTGCGGAATGAATAGCCTACACAAGTTACCCATGTACTGCCAATTCATGCAAGTTTGAGATGGGGAATGAATGCATGCACAAGTCATGATCCTCGGAAGTAGCACAAGTGCAGGTGAATACTTTATCCGATCACACAAGTAAAACAGCTGTGTGGAGCACGCACAAGTAAGCCAAGGGTGGCCGATATTGCACAAGTTGGATGGGTGTTGATTTTCGGCATTGTCAAGTGCCATATGCCGGGGTAAGCCATATTCTCGGCAAATCAGCAATATCCACACATCACTTGTGGTCACGTTCGCTTCAGTGTTCGCTGAACACCTGAATGAATCGAAGGAGGATGAATTGAGGTATTTATAAATGATATTCCATGTATCCTCATATATATAAGCATCCCAGCTTGGAGCCTTCTCAATGAATAAAGACTTACATTATCCATAGAAGATATAACTTAAAAACAGGTTTATCATTGCATATTTCGAGCCAGTCTAAATCATTCAGAGACTGAGTGATCTAAACAATCATTTGCTCTTCCGTGTTAGAATTGCGGCACTGTTCTCAAACGAAGAGAGTCGCAAAAAGTGTTCACATCTGTGGCAAACACGACATGGGGACTAACTAGAAAATATACCAGCTTATATACTACGAAAATCCGGGATCACAGCAGG